AACCCAGACTAAGTTGTTTATTAGGTACGTTCTGTGAGTCGAGGAGAGAGATTTTTGGCAAATAAATAAATAAATACTCGAACAACAGGAGATCTCGGGGCGCAGGAGGTCAGAAAGAGGGAGCGGAGTCTTTGCATAGTTCTAAATGAACAAGAGGTGGCAGCAATAGGCAGCGTGGATTCTCAGCGGAAAGGCAGCACTTGCAGAAACGGGGGACAGAGGCTTTGAGGAAGAGGAGAAGGTGAGAAGGTGACTACCTATTTCTTTGTCACAGACTGTGGCGTGGAACATTCATCCTCTCTACCAGGGGGGGCAAGATGTGGCCTCTTACATAATCTGCCTGGGCATCCCGTACCCCGTCATGCCCGCCTGGGAGGCACCCTTGTTGCTGCCCATCTGCAGGCCTATGACGTTCTGTCCCTGGCGAAGCTGCTCCTCTGAAAATCCTCTCCGGTTCTGCTGGGCTTTCCTGGATGGAAAGAGTGAGATGGACTTATGCCATGTGATAGTTCCAAATCCTTCTCAAGATATGATTACACAGCTTCTAGGTGAGGCAATCAAACACATCAGCAGACTCTTCCTCAGCCTACAGCTCTACCATGAGCTATGACTCACCATGAGCTATGGCCTACCCTGAGCTGTGGTCTACTGAGTTGTGGCTCACCATGAGCTATGGCTTATCCTGACCCTGTGGCTGACAAAGTACATACAAGTTTCCTATCCGTTAGGAACCAAGATGATTCTTAGAATTTCTAGAAAAAAAGAAAAAAGAAAGAAAGAAAGGAGAACCCATAGCTGCCCTTCTGGAAAACTCAGTCTCAGCTTCTCTCTTTCCCTTCATCTTCCTCTTTAGGCCACCCCTATCTTTACCTCCTTACCTCTCAGGTACCTCCACTCACAAAACTAACTTATTTTACAAAACATGTCATGAGTCCCATTCCACCCTTCCCACATAGGACCCAAGATCAATCTCTGTTTTGCTGCCCAGTCAATCTAGGAGTTTTCAAGGAGCAATTTAGGCTGCCATATTTTGATGAAGAGCTGGATTGCAAATAAATTTAGATTTGTAGCCATACAGGCCATGGTGGATCATCAGTAATTCTGAGACTAAGACCAGGATTTCAATATATTTCTAGGAGGAATTTAGGTCAAGGTCATCTAAAGGACATAGGCTAGTTCCTCTTATACTTTTCCAGGATGAAAAAAAGGATTAGGAAAATGAATAAAACGAATTACCAGGTAGCAGCTACAAGCATCCCTTTCACCTGCCATCAAACCTCTCAGTTTGCACAGCTCTGTCTCTGTTCTCACTGCCAAAAAGATCACTTAAGGAAAAGGTCCTGAAAGGCCCTTTCAGGAGACTGAAATAATCATGTAATTTATCACCCAGATAGGACACTTTCGAGAGTCAAAGAGGGAGCTATTAGTCAACCTGCCAGGTAACACTTAGAAACTGCGATGGTACTTGGCAAAGGGACGTATTTAATCTTTATTAGGTGCATCAAAGAGAATTAAAAAGATAAAAGGAGGGAAGGAACAAGGGAGAGGGGCGAGCTAGGAGCTAACAGGAACATCCAAGCACCTCAGCCTGGTTGCATGCTGGCTAGAATGGCAGCATCAGTCTTCCTTGCCCAGTGGGCCCTGTTGTGGGGCCGGAAGTGTTTGCTTCTTTGTAGACAGACAGTGTCTGGTAGCTCTGGGTGTCTCTCTGCCGGAGGCAGGAAGGGACTTACCTGTGAAACCAGGAGGGTTCTCCCCGGTAGCAGCCATCATCCTTGGTGACTGCCACGCTGCCTAGGGCCATCAGAGTCCTCTGCACAGCCGCCATGTCCTTCCCTGGAACCCAACAAAGAGATGAAAGCCAAGTGCGTCAGGGCCAGGGATGTTGGAAGGAGATGATGTTTCTACACCCGGGAAGAGCTCTAGAGGAGGTTATGGATGACCACGAGCTAGGGAGAAGTACTAAATAACACTTCCCAGAGTGGCTCTGACATAAAACCCACCCCAATCCCGTCAACTATTGTATTTACACAAGAAGGCTCTTTCTAATTCATTCAAGTGCATGTATAATAAACACTCCAAACATTTGCAGCTCACATACAGATCCACCCCTGGCCTTGGGCCTGGCCTTCATGGCTTCAGTAAGCTAGGTGATCTGACCAGGAGGTCCTGGATGATGGCCTGCAGGAGAGCACTTTCCTCATGAGTGGACAGAGAAGGGAAAACTGCGGATAAATTGGTTGCTTACAGTAATTCTGCTCCAGACCCCAGGGGGCTCCTCTCTTTTACTTTATCTGGGTTAGCAGGGTCTAAAATCATCCACGTTCATCAAATTGAGTATGCACTCGGTGCTCTGGTCCACAGGCAAATGGAGAAAGAAATCAACACAAAGAGCACTCAAGACACAAGTGACAGCCCTCTATTATGCGATGCATGAAAGGAACTAATGGAGACAATAAATCACTGGCCCATGTGTGAGAGAGAACAGAGCGGGGGAGGGGGGTAAGGGGTAGTCTCACATAAGGAGTGGGGACGTGGTCTCAGGATTGCCCATAGAGAAGCCAGCTGAGGCTTCAAGTCAGCCAGCTCCTTCCGTCCTCTCTCCTTCCTCCTTTTAGATGACTGGCAAGTCTCAAACTAGAGAAAGTGCTCCCCATGTAGGTGGGCTGCAACTTGGAAACAGAACAAAGGTCTGCACAAAGCAGGAATAAAGATTGCAGATGTGAAAAGGCACGGAGTTAAAAAAAAGAGAGAGAGAGAGAGAGAGGATCTTGGGGGCCTGAGGAAGGGAAGGGCAAATATTCAAAGGCTCTTATCTGACCCAGTGAGCCATCTGTGATCTCCTTGGTCTGCTTCCTGCTGCTCAGCCACTGGGGAATACAGAGTTACAGGGGAAAGGCAGGCGGAGTGAGCGAAGGGAGTGGGAACTGTAATGAAGTCAACAATTATGGCCATGAGCAAGTCCTGCTCAGGATGTTCCTGTATTTCAAGGAGAGAGGCAAGAGTCTCCTTCCCTTGCATGGTTTCCCCCGTCCATACCTCCGACACTCACTACAGGGTAATTGCCTGGAGTCTGAGGCCTGTGAGGATGCCTGTTAGGTACAGGGAGGAAATTCTGTCAGTGGGGACTCTCTTAGACTCAACTACTGGGGTGGTGGTGAATGGAGTAATAGTTTGAAGGGGAAGGCTACAAAAACACTAAGAATTTGGAGAGAAGAAACGCTGAGATGGCTATTAGGAAAACTTTTCTCTCTCATAGATGAAATACCTTTCTGTAATTGTCACCATATAATAGGCTGCTTTAAAAGATACACCTGTAGTCATAACGTTCTGGAAAGAGAAGTGGCTGGGTATACTCATAAACAGCAAAGCTATTAAGGAGAGCCTAGAACAAAATGAGTAAGTACAGGAAGTATAAGCTAGAATCTGCCAATCAGCTCAGCTCTTACACCCATCAGTAGGAACATAGTTCTGAGAGTTGGAAGGACTCGGTCTGACATGCACAGGATCTGGGACAATGTGGAAGGGCACTCAGCAAGTCAGCCATCGACATTAGATGAGCAATAGGTGGAACACAAACTCTGTTCCATCGCGATGTGTGTTTCCTTTCCACGTAGCTGGCTAATGTGCACATATATAAACTCAGAAAGAACTGAGCCACAGGCAAGGGTTAGAGATCCAGGAACCTAGAAACATAAAACCAACACCACCCACCCTCTTCTCAGTACAGGGGTCAAGGAAGTGAGCGTATGCCTGAGCTAGACACATCTAAGGGAAGGAGGCATTATTTCACAAGAACAAACTAGAAAGTTTTTTTTTTAAGAGAAGCATGCAAAGCAAAAGATTTAATGTAAATTATGGGCTAGCTCTTTTATCAAGTGAGATCTTAGCACTATAAAGTGGAGGTTACTCCTCCCCATCTGTAGACAGCAAAACTAATTCAAGGGGATTTGCTAACACCCTCGGAGTCACCCAACAAGTAAACCCAAGTCCAGCTCTAACTCCTGTTGGACTGAATTCAAACTCCACAGTAGGCACACTCCACTTCACTACTATTCCCCATGCTCCTCCCTTTTGTGAAATGAGTGGGGAACCATGTTCCTGGGCTGGAACCAGTGATCAGAGGTAACCGAAGGGATCAGGCCATCAGTAACACAGGGAACCCAAATCTGGGCTTTGAGCCTGGGTACCATAGGATTAAGGACACCAACCCCCAAATGATCATAAACCACTGGATATTTTTGTCTGGAATAATTTTGCTATAAAAAAAAATGGAGTCTATATGCTGACTTGTTACTTACCAAGATTCTAAATAATTCAATGACTAGAAATCTTCTGTGTTAGCCAGTGCACAGCTATTCCATTTTATTGTGTTACATTTTCTAGTGAGTAGTGTTAGATGGAAGGGGCAGGTGGCAGGAACTGGGGTCCCTCATAGAACCCAATTTCTGTCCACGGGGGGTCAAACATGTAAATGTGTCAAGAAACAGCAAGGTCACAGAAAGTCTGTACAGAGTGCTGGGTATAAAACAACAAAAGCTAAACTGCTGTGCCAAAGCCAAGTGTAATATCTGCCTTCTTAGGAAGCTTTCAGAAGGATGCAAGTGCAAAAAACTGTCATGTCCAGCTTGCTCCAGAGTGTATTCCCATGCTTTGTTATTTATTTAAGGAAGTGGGCACAGGGGGGATGTCTCTCCAAATGTAGTGTATGAATTTTGAATACTAAAGCCTTTTTTTCCATGAGAAGTTGACTTGGAAAGTCCCAAGAATTCACATTACAATAAGCCCAGTAAATAATACACAGGTGATTCAAACCATCAGTCCGAGAAACACAGGCTTTATCTGGTGACTACACTAGCCTAAGCACCTTAAATATTCAGATTCTGGGGCAATCTCCCAAGACAATCCTTACGTGGTCAGATGGACATGTAAGCTGTGGTGGTATTCTAATTGTACTGAAATGTGATTTTGATTGCCTGGGGGTCAGAGCTATTAGAGCCATAGCAAGAGTGTGGCGGTGGTGGCACACGCCTTTAATCCCAACATTTGGTAAAAAAGCTAGGTAGATCTCTGTGTGTTCAGGGATACAGCCAGCATTAGAGACATATGCTTTTAAGACCTGGGGGGCTGTACATACAGACAGTGACGAGGCAGTCACGTGTTTGGGTTTACAACCAATGAGAAGGCAAAACAAAAGACTATGAAACGACTTACACACAGGAAATAGCTCTCTTTCAGAGAGCTAGGACCACCACAGGAGAAAGGGTGAGATTTTAGCTCTGAGCTCTGACCTCTTGGCTTTCCCTTTTACATCGGTTCTGTGTTTCTTAATTAAAATAAGACGGTTGGTTACATCTACAGTAAGCCTCACTCTAAATTTTTGGTTTTATTTTTTTAACATCATAGTATCTGACAAGTACTAAGAATTACATAAAATCTGTTAAGCAATAATGCCTCCCTTCAGAGACATCTTCCACAAAGTCAAAGGAGTAAAACCTATCATTAGAAGTACTTTGATCCAAGCTGGAAGTTTGCCTGCTTAGAATCACTTCAATTCCTGAAAGCCATCCTGGACACCTTGGCAAATGCTTACGACTCTTCCAGTCAGCTTGATTACTTCCACTCAATACCATTCTCCCAACAAAATAAAGAAATACAGTCCTAAAAGACAGACTATCCAGATTTGTTAATTTTCCACACGCAAGCATAGTGTGAAGAAGACAGTCCCAGTAATGATGTAAGAATCTGCCACTGGCCATGAGAAGCAAAGTGACCCAGGAAGACAGAAAGCTTGCACCAATAGGCTGTCTGGGTTCTTCCGTTTCTTTATCATGAGAAGTTAATATCAGACTTGAGGCTTTAAAGCCTCCCAAGTGTCACCATCCCCACTGTGTTCTGTATTATCACAAAATAATAGCACCTCAAAATAGCCATAAACCCCAAACTATTAATCTATAAGCCTTGGGGAATGAAGCCTGGAGCTCTGCCTTGTAATGGCCCAACTCAGTGCTTATAAAGTTTGAGTGTTACATAAAGATACTCTAATGAGGAATTTATTCTCTTAAATTTACATTCAAGATATCTTACACATGGAATTTACTCTCTTAAATTTACATTTAAGAAATCCTATGCATGTCTTACATGGGTCTACATCAGGTCCTGTGTGTATATACATATATAGATACTAGCTTAGTGTTTTTATGGGACTCCTGAGTGTGAGAGCAAGTGGGTCTCTGACTCTTATACCTGCTCTTGGGACTCTTTTCCTCTTGTTGGGTTGCCATGTCCAACTAAGATATGAAAGTTTTTGCTTCATCTTACTATGTTTGGTTATCTCTTAGATGCCTGTTCGTCTCTAATGAGAGACAGAAAGGGAGTGGATCCAGAGAGGAGGGAAAGTGGGGAAGAACTGGGAAGAGTGGAGGGAGGGGAAACTATAATCAGGATATGTTGTTCAAGAAAAGAATGTATTTTCAATAAAAAAAGAAGAAAACAAATGAGAAGAAAAAGGGAGGAATAAAGGCAATGTGGAAGTCACTTGAGTTGGAAAAGTGAGGTTTGGCACTCTTTTCTATTTCTGTTTTTAACACTAAATGTCAGTCTTATCTGAAACAAACTAAATTTGTTTCAGAACTGCTATTTATTAGTCTCTACCAGTCTATCCATCTGGTAACTCTTAGAAACTGATTTTTAATATATACATCACAGAGAAAACAAGCTGTGAATGAAAAATCATTTCCCGTCTCCCTGAGAAAATACTGATACAGTCCAAGGAGAAATGTCAGAAGGCAGGCCGGGTTTTCTCTCTGGATTTTATGGGTTTTGTTGCTTCTATTCTGGCCAGCAGGAAGAGATACTGTAAGGTAGTTGTTCTCAAAGCGGGGCCGAGCAGAGGCAGACAATTGCCAGCAGCCCTTTCAAGTGAATGCAGCCAAGGATGCTGCACTGGAAAGGGAAGGAGGAGGAGTGGGCGTGTGTGGTATCTCAGGTCAGTGCGGGGACCTTGCAGTGTCCCCCAAAACCATCTCAGGCTAGGTGAAATGTGTCTCCAGCTTCTGCTGTTGAGGAAAAGCACACGTAGTGACACCTCCTGAGACAGTACATGTGAACCTTCCAGGCTCTACCCTTCCGTGTGAACAACACCTCCCCGACTCCCATCATCAGGAGAAAAAACAGCCAACACAAAACCATGCATCCATTATCCTCCATCAGTGCTGTTGAGAAGAATGATCAAGTTGATGGCTCTTTGGGTATTGTCTGCTCTGACATTTTAGAATTCTTAACATTCGACACTAAGTGGTTATACAAATAGGCCCCAAAGGTCACTGCTGATGAGCTTATAGTAGCAGAAGAAAAGTCAACATGTATTAGGCAAATAGGAATCATAGCATGCTAGAGACTTAACGTGTTTGTTCCATACGATACCTCTAGGGGATGGGGGTGCTAGACCAATACACAAAAGAGAGCCAAGACTCTTGGCAGCTGAACACTTTAAACAGAGTCACATAGCTCGGGTGCATTGGAAGAAGGACTTCAACAAATCTACTCTAAAACCCATGCTACTTTTATTCTACCGAGGTCTCCTGGGTCTGAAATTGACAATGCGATACATCATAGGGAAAGATGACAGATTCAATGACTACTAAGTGAAAAAGTCAATAAAGTAACCTGCACGAACGGTCATCCAGGCAATCCTATCAGCTTGTAAGTGTGGTTATTAATATCTCTTATAAATCCATCTTTTAAAGAGGAATCTATGACTCCCCAGTCCCCGCCCTTCCTAATAGTCCCAGAAAGGGCAGGCCAGTGGCAATACTTATACTCCAACTTATCAGGCACCCTCTGAGCATTTCTAACACATCACTTCCTTTGTTCTCTAGATCAACCCCGGTGAAATAGGTTTTATTAGCCCCATTTGACACAGGAGAAATTCAAGGCTTAGACGCTTGAACTGAGAAGCGATAGCACACAGGTGTGGTCCAGGCTGTCTGGCTTCTGAACCCCACCCCACCTCACAGGGCAGTCCCATTGCGGTTTTTCTGACCAGACCGCAGACCAGCATACTCGCTTTCTCTTGTGTGTTTTTTCTCTCATACACATAGAGACTCGGTGTAACTGTTGCTCCCTTTCTCCGCCTCCCCTTTAGTATTCACAGGAAAGATGCTGCAGACTTGCCCGCACTGTCCTCTCCTCTGAGTCATAGCTGAAACAGCCCCACCCCACCCCTGCCCTTCACAGACATCTGTGCCAAATCTAAAAGGAACCTGCCAGACCATTTACCTTTTCTCCTCATGGAGGAAAGCTTCCCCAGTACCCTTCTATTCTTTGCCTTTCCCCATCACCAACAATGATGGTCACCCTGGCTCTTTCCCAGGGAAGGCTTTGGTAAGTTTGTCTGTAAACTTAAATATCTCCATGATCAAGCTGTCACCTGGGTTTCTTTTTGAAGACGCTTGTGTCCTTATTGGTCCCAGGTCTCTTCCAAACAATGTACCGAAAAGGGGGTTCAAGAATGATGGGTGCTTCTGATGCCCTACCTATATGAGTAAGTAAAGCTTAAAGACGAAGGTATTTGGCAAACCTGGGCTCCTGCAGCTTTACTGGTCTGTAACATAGAAGCAGCTTGGAAAGGCACTGGACAACTGTGAGCAAGCAGAACCATACTTAGGGAACAGGTGCCAAGCAAAGGAAATAGGGTACTGAGAGCAGCCAAGCATAAAGCACCTGCAGAGGAGGAAGAGAAGTGTCTAGGAAAGGCGGGGGAGCGGACCGGCAGCAGCCACAGCCACCACAACTGTGATGCAGGGAATCATGAATTAGCAGGAGTTACTGAAATGTGAGGGCAGGATTGCCACCTTGGTCAGGGCGTAGAATTGTAAATGTGATGAGCGTTGCAAATGGCTAGTCCGATGTCTGCTATCTATGAGATAGAGTGTGTACATCCTCACACAGACATGTCACATAAACACACGCCAACCCTGCACTTTGATTATGGTTTAGTCATCACCCCCATTGTGCATTACAAGCAGCTTCTGCAGAAAGGACCAGAGCCTCACATGCTCGGTCCACGGTCTGTGTCACCAGTGCCGTCCCACCCACTTCTCTGTTCAAAGCAACCTGCTTTCTACTCCTACGCTCCTCGGTATGAGAAACAGTTATGGCCTGAGCTTCAGACAGGAATCCTGGGAAATATCAAGTCTCTTGTCCATGACATCATCTTCAATCTCAGCCTTCCTTGGGGCTTCCAGCAGGTCATTTGGAAACTCCTAAGTATCTGTTTGCTTGCTGTCAGCTCTCTTGCATATCCCTACCTTTTGTGAAGTTCAGCCAGCCTTTCTGTGAGCTGTCAATCACAGTACCTTTAGAAAGATTCTCCTTCTTTCGTTTGAAGTCCTGTCCTTCTGCATGGGGGCAGGAATGGGTCGGGGTTCGGAGAATGATAACTTTTATCGTCTGTCTTGCTCTCTTCATCTAGAAGCACTATCATATTCTAGAGCTACATCTCAGGTTGCCCCAGTAACACTTACGCCGCCTGGCTTTCTTCTTTCTCCAGGAGTGTCTAACACACAGGCTAGGGCAGGTGCGCAGAGCACCACATAATCTGCTCACCCAGAATTACTGCTCCATCTCTCCCCTTTTGTTTTGAGTATCCCCTCCCAAGTACAAAGCTCCTCTCCATGGTGTTTGGACAAAGGGAGAAAGGAAGTAAAGCTAGCTCTTGAATAACGGAGATGGGAAGGCTCCCTTTAGACCCTACCTCCCCCAAGTACCTTCCTCTTACACACTTCCTGCACTCGGGTGCTCACCAGGGTTTCTCTCGTTTGCTCTAACACTCTATCTTTTGGTTTCACACAGCTTTGACTCATCTCCTCCATGCTTCTCTGCCTCCCTGGTATCCACAGCCCATCACTGTAGTGTCTCAGCAGCACACTCATGGTAGAGATGAAGGAAGCTGAGCCCCCTGGCTAAAGAGCGGTGTGGCCTGTTGAGTAAGGTCTTACGTTTTGGTGTCAGAGTCTAGGGCGGAATCTCAGGTCTGTGATCTACGAACTCTCTGATGGACACACATAACCAGGTGTCATTATCTGTGCAATGGGGAGGCTGACAACATTTCCTTCATAGTTCCGTGAGAAGAACTGTGTGTCAGTGTCCAGAAAAGCTCTTATCTGGGTGCTGCTAGTGAGGAAGGAAGACTATCAGTGAGGAGAAACTGTATTAATGGTGGAGAATCACCGTAATTTTGACCTGGGAGTCAGGCCAGTGTCCTCGGTGAGGACAGCCATGGAGAACGGGAGGCAGATGTTCATGAGGTCTGGTGGCCTAGCCAGCACTTCAGATATCTGAAGTGATAGAAAATCTAAGTTCAGTCCCCTGGCCTCTTCAAGGTTGAACTACTCACCCAGAGAGGAAGCATGAAATGGGAGCCCTGAGTGAGTGGAGGCTTGAGGTTGTTGTGAGGATGGAGGAGGCGATTTTATTTTCTTTATAATTTTCTGGGTAGAGTGTCCTCTGCTGGGAATCTATTTTAACCTTTAGAATACCCATGACTCTTGATTAAAGTAGCATTATTCTACTCTCACCATCAGCAGGCCATTTGGGTCACCACCCAGGAGTCCTGTTGGTTGCACCGTGATGACAGCCAGTAACAATGAGTGTGTCAATCAGCCTGGGCAGTTAGGCAGTCTCTCTGTGCCACAGGCAGGCCTAATTGTGGCTGTGTGGGCTAACATGTACATTTTCACTAAAAGGGACAGGAAGCCATATGGCTATTGGTCCCTCAAATTCTCCAGCCATACCGTCATTCCACATCATTTTCTCCAATAGTGGCGGATTGCTAAATATGCCCATAGCTACTACGATTCGATCTAGATAGCTTTGCGAGACTTTTCTCACCAAGCCAATTCACAAATGTGAATGAAAAAAGAAATCATCTGGTCGTCTCCCTGAGCAGAATACCCACCTAGAAGATGCAGTCACTGTTCTCCGGGTAATTGTTTAACAGAAAGATGGAGCACTGGTTCTTGCTCAGATTCAATGACAGGGGTGCACAGATGGCTTTGTCTGTGAGCCCCACTGCGGGTGAGTCAGAAGAGCACTCACTCACTCCTGCCGCCCTCCTCTTCCACTAAATGTGATTGTTATGAAAGGCTAACAAGAGGAAAAGACATCCTTGCAGCCAGCCCACTTCTCCTCTGTGGACACCTCTAGTTTGCTGAGGTCTTTGCCATATCCTCGGCACGCGTAGGATGGGACCCCTATCCATAAAGCGTCACACACAGGAAGGACAACACTGTCCGTGGGGTGACAGCTGAGAATGCACTTCCCCTCCCCCAAGCAGCACAGGGAAGCCCTATGTAAGAGGCTTTTACAAATAGATGATAGAGGAAAGAGGAGGTATGGGACCGGGAGTTCAGGGGAAACAGACCCAAAGACAGAAGGGCTGTTTACCTTCCCATAGATCCACTGTCTGAAAAATGTCAGTGGTCCTGACACCATAGACCTCGGCCGCTTTCAGGAACTGGGAGATTTGCTCCATCTGCTTAAAAGCCATCTTTGACTCTGAGATCTTGGGGATAGGTTCTTGTCCTGGTGGATATAAACTGTTTATCAGCTTGCACAGGACCTGAAGGGAGCATGGGGACAGAGAATCAGTGTTTCCCTTCGCAGTAAATGTCACAAGTCAGAAGTGAATGGTGCATCTACACACACACACACACACACACACACACACACACACACACACACACATGCTCCCACATTAAACACAGAAGAAGACCCCCAGGGAACCCATTTGCAGGCTGCAGTGGACCACAATCCTGCAGCTGCCGGAACTCAATTCCCTCCTTGGGAATGATGCTGGGTGATGAGAACATGATCCCAGATTCTTAATGGAGGATGCATTGGAGGCTCGTGGGGGAAATGGGAGGATTCTGACCTGCTCTCTGGGATCTGCTGTCTTCACTAACTCATCCTATATGAGTTTATGATGTGTAAAAGAACGAAGTTGGGTCTTCTCACAGACTCTGAGAAGCCAAGCCTTGGTCTACCCAACACATGGGTGGGATAGCAGTTATGTAACAGTAAATCACAACATGCCAGAAAAGATGGGCTTGCTCGACTCTGCTGAGCTGTCTGTCCGCCTGGAATCCAAACACACAGCATCTGGGCAGAACTGCACTTATCAAATAAGGATTCCCTTTCCAATCACCGGAACTCATCTGCTTCAGAGACCCTGAGCATCTCCAAGGGGCTCAGCATCCCTGGAGGATGACAAGTTGGCTATCCTGACTCCTTTCCTTTGTTCCACCATGTAACCAGCTGGTTCCCCTGGGGGTAAGAAAAGCCCCAGAAAGGCTGATGCACCGAGAAGGCAGAAGAGATCACACGGCAGCGCTTAGCTCTATTCTCAATGGAAATATCAGAAGGGCTTCAGTGTTGCTTACAGCTCAGCAGGAAAGCTTGATGCTCAGATGGGTGGAGAATCCTTTAAACTAGCTAGGGAATTGTGCAGGGAGCCCTCATCTTACAGCCCTAGAGGAATAAAGACCTTCCCATTCCTCCTGGTGAGATCCAGACCTTGGCAACAGAAGATCTCCTGGGGCCGCCCATAGAAAGAAAGGGCCCCAGGAGGGCTTCCCTGCCCACCACCCCAGCAACCAATATCGCTGCCCAGCTTACCGTCCCGTCCATCAACCATTTCTGAAAATGGGCCCTGCCCGGGGGCGGGTGCTCTATATCTTCAGCACACTGCAGGATGATCCAGTCCACCAGCTTGTTCTCCAGGTCCGCGTCATACTTCTGCTCGATCTTCTCCTGCACCTCTCGGCTTAAGCCATAGCTCGGGCCCCTGTTAGCCATCTCTGGAAGAGAAGAGAGGACACGCGCGGCATCCACACAATAGCAGCCACAGCAGCCCCCGGGCTTCCTGAGAACCCGGCTGGGATGTGGCAGGGAGGCCGAGCCCAGCAGCAGGAAAGCGGGCAGAAAGCCGGGCGTGGTTTAAATCAAGGAGCCAATGAAGCCAATGGGGTTTCACCTACAAATGGGAAAGAAAAGCGCAGACACGCGCCATAGACTCTAGAATAAAGCCCCAGCCGGCCCAGGGGGGCTGGAGCCCCCCTCTCAGTCCTGCCTGTCAAGCAGACGGGATGATGTACGCGGACTCACTCGCGAGCCTGAACCCCCAGGCAGTCGGCGTGGGGGTGGGGGTGGGCGACGGTTGCTTGCTCCCGGTCTCAGCAGCACTTTGCGTGAGAGTCCCAGAGCAGGTAATTAACAGGCGGGAGAAAGGATGTCGCGGCAATCGGCTGTTGATGGTGCATGGAGCCTGGAAGCGAGGCGCTCTGATTCGATTTTCTCACGGCTGAGGCGGGTCAAACCAGGGCTGTTGCTAAGAGCCCTCCAAAGCCAGCCCTCTCCTTGTCAAGCAAGCCCGCATGCCTCCCGCTGGGAGCCTCTTTCTTCTGCAGCGAAATCCTTTCTTCTCCTCCTCTGGGGAACCCAGCATTGTATCCAAGGCCCCACACAGCTGCCCGAGGGGACCTGGGTCTCGGGGAGGGTCCATTCTGTTAAGTGCCCATCTGCCAGGAATAAGCCACTTTAACCTTGCGCTGAAGTGACAGTTGTTACGGGACGGGATGGGGTGGGGTGGGGGTGGGGGGACACTGGAGGCTGCAACCATTTACTTCTTAAGCTGTCAACCCAGTTTCATCCAGAAACTTCCAACCCGTGGAAAACCTCCGTGGCTTGGTTTGGCTCTACTCAAGGAATAAACCTTTTAAGTGTTACTTTAAACTGAAATAGATAGGACGAATTTTGTAATTAAATACAGGTCAGTCGGTGTTCTAAAAGTAGTGGTAGATTGCAAAGCCTTCATCTATTTTAGTTAAGAACTTCGGAGGTGCCAGGGACATGCATTTAAGAGTCACTTCGCATTGATGGAGACAGACAAAACACTTGGTTTAAGGTGGCCTGAAGATGTCTCAGGAGCTAGAGAGATTGGCATTTTGTTCCCGTACAGTACAAGCTGTTTGAAGGTAAAGATGACTTCTCACTTTAGCTGTTTCATGTAAGTCTCTGGGGGTACTTCCATTCCAAAGGTTTGTTCTTTGGTTGATACCTTCATTCAACAAGTATTTATCAAGCGTTTAAATTGCATCAAATGTTGGACCTGAAGAAAATAATTTTTACAATGTGCTGATAAATTGGCTCAAGACAGTAGATTAGGCAGTTCTGACGGGGAGATGATCATTGTCCCTGTGAGGACTGATTAGAGCCAAGCATGAAGTTATTCTCAGACAACACATGAATGCACTGGGAAACATCTCCTGCTAGCTGAGGCCTGGACTAGGGAAACCATCCCTCCTTAGGAGATAAGTGACCAGTTAGCTTGAGGGGACTTCGCCGTGAGTAGTTGAGAGCCTGGAGAGAAAGAACTCAGAGGTGAGGAAGCAGGTCCGCTTTGAGCAGTGGAAGGAGACCAAGCAAGCTAAGGCTTTGGTGCTTCCTGGACTCGCAGGTGAAGAAGTCCCGAAGACACGGAGCTGTCTCAGAGACTTGGAGCTTGTGAGGAGAAGGCAATGCTTTAAGGTAATGCTGCTGGAAGAAGTCACCAGTCTGCATCACGGGCGGCAACAATAACGGTAGGTCCAACCTGGAACTCAGTGGCAGAAGCTCACAGAGAAGGCGTGCTTCTTTTCTCCGCTGCTAGATGCCATTCTAAAGAGAACAGTCTGTTTCTTCTTCCTCCTCCTGCTCCACCTGCTCCTCCCGTGCCTCTTCCTCCTTTACTTTTGGAACTTTTGTGCCCCAAGATTCTTTTATATTATAACCGAATAGTTGGTATGCTTTACATCAAGGTTGAGCCCATGGTTCTAGAAAGGATCCTATGCAATGAGGAACCACAGCAGGACATAAGTGCCCAGAATCTTAGAGGATGCCTTCAGAGAAAAAATGTTTGGTGCCCCGGAAATAACAATGGAAATTAGTTCAACCTTGCATTTGCTTGATGCCTATTGGCATTATAGTAATTTGCTTCAATAAATTATTTTTTTAAGACAGGTCCTCCCAATGTAGCTCAGGCTAACTTAGACTTTTGATCATCTGTCAGTCCCCTTCACACTGGGATTACAGGTGTGAACCACCAGGCTCAGCTTTAACATTTTTTTTAAAGGCTTATATGTGTATGTGAGATACAAAAACTAAATGAAACTTGCTAAGCTGGTCTAGTACCAAAGTTAACCTTGTCAGCAATAAATGTCAGCCAGATGTCATGCTATACTTAAGGAAGGGAATAGAGAATCCGGGAAAATGTCTATCAGTAAGATGACTTTAAGCACTGAACGATAAATAGGTATTTGTCAGATGAGTGTATGAGGTAGAAGAGCTGTGGATTGTTGCTGGTAAAGGCAACTTACCTATAAAGATAGAAAGGGGGTGCTGCAGAGATGGTTCAGTAGTTAAGATCACTGGCTGTTCTTCAGAGGACCCAGGTTTGATTCCCAGCACCCACATGGCAGTTAACAACTGCCTGTAACTCCAGTTTCCCCTTCTGGCCTCTGTAGGCATTGCATACATGCAGTGCACAGATACACATGTAGGCAAAACACTGCACAGATATACATGCAGGCAAAACACTCATGCACATAAAATATATATTTAAAGTTAATATTTATTTTTTAAAAGGGAGAAAAAGTCTTAGCATCACCAAATCAGAGGGCTAAATGGAATACATAGAAAACTGGGGCTGGAACGTCAGGCAGACTCCAGATGATAAAGTGGTGTGTTTACAAGGATCCATAGTTAAATTTCCAGGAATTTTGAGGGTCCGTTACTAAACTCTTGCATTATTAGTTATCAGATCACATAAATAAATTATATTACAAAAATTAATTACTCAAAATGAATTGGTCTTACTTTTGCTACATTACGCAATAACCTATGTTCATGAAGATAATTGTGTTGATGTTTCTATAGGAGGTAAACACTATGCAATTGTGTGTTCCTGGACATTTCTTCTCAGCTTTGCTTTCCGAGATGCCGTAGAGGCAGTTTGAAAGTGGTCTTAACGGGAATACATACAAACGCCAGGGATGGTGGCAAGGGCCCACAGTAAAGAGTCAGTTAGTTGTTAAGCACTTACTAGCCTTACATTGATTTGTCATGCAAGAGAGTTTGAGCTTTTTCAGGAGAAAGAAAACCACCAGATCTCAGTTGGGTAAAAGGAAAGAAACCCATTTGTCTGATGTAGCAGAGCACGTAGTGCTGCTATCTACTGCAAAAGGACACACAGGTAGGGTGCACTACCAAGGAGAGAGAGATGATAACATTTGGCCCTGCTACTCCGAGAGGCCTGTGATCCGTCTGAGTTCATTGGGTGGACGTTTTATGAGTCTGGCGCTCCAGAGAAACACCTAGATGGTAGAGAGCTGCTTGAGTCATCCGCTTGCTGGTAGTGGTTAAAACCATAAAGCTGGGTGCTGCTGCTGCAGGAAGTAACATGAAAAGAGTGCCGAGGGCAGAACTAAAGGGAAATCAACATGACAGGCTGGGCAAGGAGCGGGGAGAGGCCCAGGGGAGTTCAGGTGCCTTGTCGGCGAGGTTCGGGATAATGATGCCCAAGTAAGTCCAAACTCAATAGTGCTCTGAAGAAAGAGGCTGGCGTGGCTGCTGAGGATTTCAAGGCAGGAGATCCTAACCCCAGGGCACAAGTGCAGAACTGTCATGACCGAGAACCTAGGAACCAACATCCTAGAACAAGAGGGATGGGGGCTGAGTCGAGGGCCTCCTAGAGAAACTGGCCGGCCCTAGAGGTCTCAGACCTTGTGTTGCGGAAGGCAGCTGTGAATGAAGACCCGGTGAGCTTCTTTAATTAGCTGGAGAAAGTTAAACTATCGGCAACCCCCTGAAAATCCAGTATAACCAAGATAAAATGAGAAATAATACCTCGCCTACAATATATATTTAGTTTAAAAACTTGTCTGCCTTTTCTTAGATATTGTCTTTATATCATATTTTTGTCATAAATCAAGGAACTTTAGTTTCTGAGAATTCAACACTGTCTTCTGGCTTCTTCAGGCAATTGTATGCATGCCTTGCACATGAATTCATGCAGGTACACACACATAAACATGAAAAATTCCTTCTTAAGAGATCTTTAAAACAGATAGTTGGCCCTCTGTTTCTAAAGATTGAAGATCCACTAAAAATATCAAAAACAAACAAACAAAAAAACAAAAAAAACCCCCAAAAAACCAAAAACCAAAAAGAATCAAACCAAACCAAACTAAACCAAAACTTTGTCTGGAGCTTGGCACGGCAGTGCAGCACATGCCTGTATGATTCCAGGATCAGAAGGTTGAAGCAGAATCAGAGTTTGAGGCCATCCTGGGTTGAGGCAGGGGAGAGAAAGAAGAAAAAGACAGATATTACATCTTGAAAATGTATGTTTCCTTATTATCCTTTAAGAAACACAGCACAAGAAACACTTGTCTTTGCATTGTATTATTCTAAGTATTCTAGAAATAATGAAGTGTTCTAGGTGATGTGCATGTGATCTAGGCTCTATGCAAATACTCTGTTCTATCTGTTTTCTCCGATGGAATCTCACTAGGTATGTGAACCACACTTAAGTATAGATCTCATGCCCAGCAATTTTGATAGCCTCAGAGGGTGCTGGAACTAATCTCTGAAATAGCAAGGGATGGCTGTATTTAACGTTCACTCACTCTTTTTCCTTCTAGAAAATGAGTTTTTGCTCTTTTTCATTCTTTCTTTTCTTTTGAGACAGGGTTTCTCTGTGTAGTCCTGGCTGTCTTAGAACTCGCGCTGTAGACCAGGTTAGCCTTGAACTCAGAGATTCACCTGCTTCTGCCTCTCAAGGGCACCACCACACCCAATGTTCTTTTTCAACTCTTCCGAATCTTTCATTTGGCATCCTCACTTCAGGGATTGTCCTGGGAATGGTAACACTCTTCTATCTCTATCACCATGTTTATAAAACTCCACCTTGCTCAGAACTCTTTCTTCTCCAGACTCTTCATTGGCTGCTTAGAGACTTGCATACTGTATAAATTTACATCAGGAAATGTTTTGAAAGCACAGCAAAGGCAAAGAATATTATACATCTTTGATTAGCTGTTCTTGGTGAACACATCCCTTCTTGTTGCACATGTTCAAATTGTTTAGTAGGTGCATGTCACTTTGAAAATCAAATTAAAATTCCAGATGCTAAGGCACACGGAGCTGCTGTCTGTTCATGCCTTTTACATATCATTGAATACACAGCATAGAGCAGTTTCAGAAAAAAATGGCCTGAGTATAAAACACAAACACATACACAGAATCAATAATGGACTAGAGCACACTGAACCCTATTAAATTTTTTATTGAAAATATTTTTTCACACAATATATTCTGATCATAGTTTCTCCTCCCCCATCGCCTCCTAGATAAACATCCAACTCCATACTTTTCTTCTCTCTCTCTCTCTCTAGAAAACAGGCAAATTAAAAGAAACAAATAAAAAATAAAACAAAGAATAAAAAACAAAAATAAATAGCACAAGAAACACACACATCACACACAGACACACAAAAATAAAACCTATAAAACCATAAAATTGGAAGCCACAATTGAAAGACCAGCAAGATTAAAAAAAAAAAGCCAACCAAAGTAATAGGAAACAATAACAACAAAAACCTACAAAAATATCATTGAGCTTGTTTTGTGTTGGACATCCATACTGGGCATGGGACCTATACTTAAGTGTGGTTCACATACCTAGTGATATTCCATCGGAGAAAACAGATTTTTTGCCTTTGCAAGCAGTTGGCAATTGGAGACAGTTTCTTGGTTAGGGATGAGAGCTCATGTCCCCTCCTCCTCCCACCTACCCAGTGCTGGGACCCTGTACATGCTACCATGGTTTCTGAGTTCTTATGTAAGTCAATCCTGTTGTGTTTAGAACACACTGTTTCCTTGGTGTTATCGACCCCGCCTCTGGCTCTTAAAATCTTTCTACCTCCTCCTCCAAATAATAGCCCAAGGCCTGAAGAGAGGGTCTGATGAAGACACACATTTAGGACTAAGTGTTCCAAAATCTCTTACCCTCTGTACATTGTCTGGGTGTGGGTCTCTGTTATTTTGTCTTTTTTTTTTTCCAGAGCCAAGGACCGAACCCAGGACCTTGTGCTTGCTAGGCAAGTGCTCTACCACTGAGCTAAATCCCCAGCCCTGGGTCTCTGTATTAGTTCTTATTTATTGCAAGTGGAAGCTTCTCTGATGATGACTGAGTACTTACCAGTGGGAATGGCAAACTGTCATTAGGAGTCATTTTGTTGCTATGAGCCTTTAGCAGAGCAACCATTTGGTTTGCCTTAGGCACATGGCCTGTCTAGTCTCAGGTTCTTGGCCATTTGGACAGTGTTAGGCATTGGTTCCATCTCTTGGAATGGGCTTTATATACAATCAGATAGTGGTTGGTTACTCCCACATTCGTGCCACTATTGTCCCAGTGTACCATACAAACTGGTCAATGTTGTAGATCACAGGGTTTGTAGCTGGGCTGGAGTACCTTTTTCCTCTGGTAGTATGAAGAGTGGCTCCCAGTATCACAAACACTAGTCAGTAGAGGTGAAGGCTC